TATCCTGGCTGTTCGCCTGCCCCTTGCCCCCTTGAAGAGGGTGGGACTCCCCCGCCCAGAGGGAAGGTGAGCAGTGATCAGTGGGGAAATTTAGATGGAACTTTTCCAGGCTTAAGGTTGGGGGAGCAGCATTGGCCTGAGCTCTGGGGGACAGGAGACACACGGGGGGGGGGGCTCCACTCTGCCCCTTCCCCGAGAGGGCGGCACTGTCCGTGTCGTTATTACTATTATTTTTATGTTATCATTATTACAACAATCCGTGGAAGGGGGAGGCTGCTTTGGGAGGGGGCTAACCAGAGAAGGTGGGACCCTGTCTGTTCCCGGCTGTAACAAGCATGGAGCATCAATGTCAGACTCCCTGGGTTGGACATGATGCTCCAGTGTGAACTCTGTACACACAGCAGACCACTTTGTCCACCCTCAGCTTGAGCTCCTTCAGAGATTGGAAAGCCACCACCTCAAAGACTTCTGTTTGCCACTTCATCCTAGACGTGGTCTTGGTGTGTTGTTAAACGAGACAAGCACATCGTGCGAGTGTGTGATCCTGATTGTGCGATATTCACACAACACACACACACACACGCGGGTATAAAGGAAGCTAGAAGCCGACCAGCAAAACGCTGACAGGGATGAGCAGACACCCCTCCAGCCCGCTGGTGGCTCAGCTCTGACACCGGGACTTTCATGGTTCTTATTTTGCTTTGCATGTCACTTACGTAAACAGGCCTTTGAAAGTCATACCGAAAAAGAAAGCCTTCCCTTGTGTTGAGCTAAACCCTGCCTTCCCGTAATGTCCCCTGTTCTCAGCAGGCCTCTCCCTTTCACTGCTTTCTCTTTCAGGTCTCCAGAGGGATGCCATGTGTGTCCCCGTGGACCCTGGGGGCCACAGAGAGTGGTCCCGGAGCCAGGACCCCTCACCTTGCCCGTGGACTTGACCCCCTTCCAGATGCAGAAGTAGCAGACAACCCAGGCAAGCAGGAGGCAGAGGGCCAGCTCCCAGCGCAGGGCCCCCAGGTCGTGGATGCCGGCGCTGATGCCCAGAACACGTCTCCTGGGGACGGGGAGACACACAGCCAGGTGAGGCCGAGGGGACAGTGGCCTCCGCCATCGGGTGTCCTCATCCTTAGAGCTGACCCCACGGGCCTCAGAGTCCACGCCTCCTGCCCCGCCCCCACGCCTCCCTGCCCCGCCCCCACGCCTCCCTGCCCCGCCCCACGGCCAGCACGTTCCCACCTGTGGTCTCTAAGCCGCTGGCCGTTAGACGACCACGTAATCCCACATCTCTCTATGTCAGAGAGATAGGGACAGAGAGAGGGCAGTAAGCGTCTGGGCGAGCTCAAGCCCGTGGGGAGCAGAGACCCGTACGGGCAGTTGATGAGCAGGTGCTCGGGAAGCAGACAGAGGGGCTGGACGGGCGTCAGCATCTGGAGAGTGACTGGGGTGATGGGAACACGTGTGTGCCGGGGTCGGTGGGCATGAGGGCGGCGTGGATGCCGGGAGGGCGCCCCGGGGAGAGTGTCGGTGAGTACGTGTGGGCCAAGGTAAGTGTGAGGGCGGGTAGACTTGTATACGCGCAAGGGTGGACACGTGTGGATGCTGGGGTGCAAGTGCTCGTGTGGAGCGTGCAGGCGTGAGTGTAGAAATTTGCCAGTTCCTGTGGTGTAAATACTCCCACTTCGGCCAGTTTCAAGCCACCACCAGGACATCAGGGCACATGGAGCTGGCACAGACTCTTCCCAGCTCGCCTGGCCGTCGGCCGTGGCTGTCTACGTGCAGGTGGGCGTGTGGGTGCGGGTGGGTGACGGTAAGAAGGCACGTGGGTGATGCAAGTCACGTGGACGCGCGTGTGAGTCCAGGTGGACACAGGTGGATGCGGGGCGAGCGTGAGGGTGTGGACGGTAGGTGTGGAGGGTCCCTCATCTCCTAGTGACGTGAGTGCTGGAAAGCATGCACAGGGAGGTGTACACCTGCACCCCCAGTCCCGGGCCCCAGACATTTAAATTCCCTCCGCCTGGGGCCCCCGGGAGGCGGCCTCCAGGCCGGGCACCTACTCCCAGAATTCCATGACGGGGGAGGTGAAGTTCACGGGCGGGGCCGCTGCACCAGCTGCCGAGCGGTTCAGGAAGTCCATGCAGTGCTCTGCAGGGGACAAGAGGGGCATCAGCAGCGGGCCAGGCGGGCAGAGGCGCCCTCACACCCCATCCGCCCCCCTCTGGCCTCGCATTCCCGGTCCCCAGAGCTTCCTCTGGAGCCCCCGCTTTCCAGCATCAGGAGTTCCTGCTCGGGTGCCTCGGGTGACCAGCCCCCGTCCCTGTGTGCCTCACGCTGCTCTCATCCTGGTGAAGCTGGCTGCTCCTCTGGCCATGCTGCCAGCCACCTCTGACCCTGTCCAGACCTCAGGCCAGGCCCCCATGCCCACGTGTGCACCTCACTCCCCAGCGATGGGGGTATGGGCTCGCGGGACAGCCCCGCCGGGAGTGGTCCCCACGCAGGCCCCTTCCCATCCTTCCGTGGTCACCCGTCGAAATCTGCCACTGCTCTGTCCGCTCGTCTGTTCCCAGCGCTTGACTGTCCCTGGTGCGGGCTAGGCCGGATCACCCGGGCCCACCGCCGGGTCTCGAGGGTCTGGCACACAGTAGGCCCACAGTGAACACTGGCTCGGTGGGTGGACGTTGGGGGGTGTTAGCGCCTGGCAGCCGCTTGTCACCCACCGTCCCACCGGGTCGTCGGCTGTCCTGGCGGCTGGTTGGAGGTCCCACACGGGGTCGGCCAGCAGAGTGGCCACCTGTGCCCGCCCAGCTCGGCTTGGGGGCTGTTCTGCCGAGAGCTCCATCACTGTTCGCCCGGCCCCAGCTGCCCCGTCCCGGGGCCAACACGACAAGTACCTGTGTTCCAGGAGTGGGTGCAGGCAGTCCAGGGCAGCTCAGGGGTAAAGGAGCTGAACAGGTAGAAGAGGGCCCAGGAGAGAATGATGATGTAGTAGACGTTCAGATAGGCCTCGATGACCACAGACGCCAGGCCAATGCCTTGTGGGGGGAGTAACAAGGGGGTCCCAGAGACCAGCGTCAGCCTGGGAGCCGCCCACCGTGCTGGAAGGACAGGGGCCACAGAGACCCCGTGGGGCTCATTCACGGGCCTGAGAGGCCCTTTACTCCTTATCTTTCTAAGTAAGAAAAGCAGGTGACAGAGCACCACCCTAGGCATTCTCCCAGTTTTATGATGTATATCTGAACACATTTGTTTTTTCATGAGAGAATCTCTGGAAGGAGCATCGTCCAGAGGTTAACAGGTGGGTCTCTGGGTGACAGATTTCAGTTTACTTTTAAAAGTCCTTTTCTTTCTCTGGTTTTTCTAGTTTTTCTGTGACAGTCATGCATCACTTGTGAAGTCGCAAGGGACAGGAGGAACAGAGGCACGAGGCCAGAGGCAGGAGGTTCCCGAGTTCGGGTCTCACTAGGCATCCGAGCCTCTGGGGGGTGGAGGGAACCCACGCGTGTGTGGGCATCAGGCAAGGACCCGGGCAGCCTCGGTGGGGCTGTGGACCCCAGGGAGCAAACCGAGGACAGACTCCACGTGGACCACACACAGCCCACACGGACCCCAAGGATCCGAGGAAATCATCCCAGACACCCCACAGGGTCCCCATTCTGATCCCACAGGGACCCCCCAAATCACCACATGGACCCCCAAGGACCACACAAAACCATCTGATGCCCCAAGAGGGATAAGCACCAGACTAGCCATGCCCCGCAGCCCAGCCCCTGGTCAGGCTCCCAGTCTGCTCAGGAGCCAGCATGGTTCCACCACGTCCACGCCGTCCAGCGGAGGCTTGGCGGCCCCCAGACAGGCCTGTCCTGGGCCCGGCCCCTTAGGGCCTGGCGTCCGAGGCAGAGTCCTCCCTCCCCCGCAACCATGCAAGGAGCCGCTCAGGGACCAGGAGGGCCCTGGGTTTCCCACTGGCCGTCAGGGCGCCATCAGCTGAACAGAGGGTGGAAGAGGACATCCCCACTGCTCCCATCAGTGCCAGCAGATCCCCAGAGGGAGGGCAGGGGCTGGGACCAGCTTAGTCCCTAACACAGGACACAGCACAAACCCGCGGAGACCTGCGTTAGTGAATGGCCCCATTTTCTCATCTTATGAGGGTAACGCAGACACTACTGGAGGGTTAGGTGAGGACGCAAACGCGTGTGACGTGCTGACGTGAGCCCTGGCACATCATCACCATCATCACCATGATTATACCCCGCGGAGGCGTGTCTGGGACCAGGCCATGCGCTCGGGAGCACATTTCCTGCGAAGCTGTGAAGACTCAGCTTCAGGGTTCCGCACTTGCAAGGACTCCTCCCGAGACTCTGCACCTAATGTTGTGCCTAGTTATAATTTTGTATCGTCCTTCCTGGAGACTGCTTCCACCCAGGTTCTAGAAGCTTCGGGCCCCAGGAAGCCTGATGACACGTCCTAGCTCCTCTGCAGCCCTCAGCACAGGGTGGATGAAGGAAGCGGGGAGGGGCGGGGTGTGCGGCCAGAACGCACTCACCCTGGAGGAGGGGGCAGATCTTCCTCCAGGCTGTGACGCTGCCCTGGCTGGTGTACTGGCCCAACGCCACTTCCAGAAAGAACACTGGGATGCCGCAGGTGAAGAAGAAGATGAAGTAGGGGAAGAAGAAGGCTCCTGCCGAGGAGGGGGAAGGGGGCTGAGCTGGCAGCCAACCCCTCAGCCGCCCCCCGCAGCCCCCAGGGGCCCAAGACAACAGCTTCCTCCTGTCTGTGAGCAGGGCCCAGCGGAAAGTTTCCAGTCCGCGCCCCACCCGGCATAGGAAAGACCTTCGAAGGGAAATGAATGATAATGTAGATGGAGATCCTAATATATGCCCTATGTATTTTCTCAGTGTGCTTCACAAATCTAGTCCATTTATTCTTTTTGGAACCGAAAATGTGTTCTGTATAATTTGATATGCTTATTAAATCATCAAGTTTGTTCCGTTTTCAAGAAAAACAAACAAACAAAAACACCTTGGGAAAATGATTTTCCCTGTAATCATTTCCAGAGGGTATTTCCCCTCCCTCAGGCTCTGGTCTGAACTGGGCCCCCTGCAGACAAGGCCTCTCCTCTGCTAGCCTGCTGCGGTGAGGACCGTTGCCCACGTTCTCGTGCGCTTGTCTACTCTGCTCCTCAGTGTAAACTTCCAGCAGAGGAACTGCTGAGTCAGAGGGCAAGAGAAATGGACCTTTTTTTTTTTTTTTGCTTTTTCTGTCATAAAATGTACGTAACATAACTTTTACTATTTTAACCGTTTGTAAGTGCACAGCTCAGCAGCATTCAGTTCATTCACATTGTTGTACAACCATCGCCACCGCCCTCTCTAGAGTTTCCTCACCCAAACTGAAGCTCTGTCCCCTTTCAACGCTCACTCCCCTCCCCCTCCCCCAGCCCCAGCACCCACCCTTCCTCTTTCTGTCTCTACAAACTTGATCATTCTAGGCACCTCATGGAATCCTACAGTATTTATTCTTTCGTGACTGACTTATTTAGCATAATGTCTTCAAGTTGCATCCATGTTGCAGCATGTATCAGAATTTCCTTCTTTTCCAAGGCTAAATAACGATCCAGTGTCACTATAGGTCACATTTTGTTTATCCGTTCATCCACTGATGGACGTTTGGGTTGTTTCCACCTTTTCAGAATAAACTTTCTTTTTTTTTTTTGGCCATGCCACGAGGCATGCGGGATCTTAGTTCCCCGACCAGGGATGGAACCCGGGCCCATGGCAGTGGAAGTGCCGCAGAGTCCTAACCACTGGACCTCCAGGGAAGTCCCAGGGATGAACATTTTTAAGGTCTTTGACCGGCATTTCCAAATTGCCCTCCCAAACTCTTGTACCATCTGCCCTCCCAATAGCAACATGTGAGAGCAAAGACGGATTGGTGAGTCTTCCTGGGCCTGCTGCTGCCGACCAGCTCCATGGTCCCAGGCAAGTGGCTGAGGTCTCTGGGCCCCTGTCCTCCTCTGTGGAACAAGGGCTCTGATGAGATCATCTTTGGCCATAGCCACCTCTATGTCCGTGACACTGCGGCCGGGGCAAGAATAAGCCACCACAACCTCCCCCAGCATTAGTTCTCACCCCAGCCCTGGCCTGCCCAGGAAGTCCCATTTCTATTTCTTTGGAGTCATCGGTTTAGGCAATTTGCAGTAAGAACTATAAGTTTTAAAACAGAGAGCAAGGGACTTCCCTGGTGGTCAGTGGTTAACACTTTGCCTTCCAATGCAGGGGGTGCAGGTTCGATCCCTGGTCAGGGAACTAAGATCCCACATGTGGCCAAAAAACCAAAACATAAAAGAAGCAATATTGTAACAAATTCAATAAAGACTTTTAAAAAATGGTCCACATCAAATAAATGAATAAAAGGGGCTTCCCTGGTGGCACAGTGGTTAAGAATCCGCCTGCCAATGCAGGGGACACGGGTTCGAGCCCTGGTCCGGGAAGATCCTACATGCCGCAGAGCAACTAAGCCCGTGCACCACAACTACTGAACCTGTGCTCTAGGGCCCGCGAGCCACAACTACTGAGCCCACGTGCTGCAACTACTGAAGCCCACGTGCCTAGAGCCCGTGCTCCGCAACGAGAGAAGCCACCGCAATGAGAAGCCCGCGCGCCGCAACGAAGAGTAGCTCCTGCTCGCCGCAACTAGAGAAAGCCCATGCACGGCAACGAAGACCCAACGCAGCCGAAAATAAAATACATAAATAATTTTTTAAAAATAAATAAATAAAACAGAGAGCAAGACACGTGGTAAATGTTCACTAAATATTTGTCAAATTAAATAGAAACAGCGGGGCTTCCCTGGTGGCGCAGTGGTTGAGAGTCTGCCTGCCGATGCAGGGGACACGGGTTTGTGCCCCGGTCCGGGAAGATCCCACATGCCGCAGAGCGGCTGGGCCCGTGAGCCATGGCCGTTGAGCCTGCGCGTCCGGAGCCTGTGCTCCGCAATGGGAGAGGCCACAACAGTGAGAGGCCCCCAAAACCCAAAAAAAAAAAAAAAAAAAAAAATAGAAACAGCGTTTAGAAGGATTTTCTAAACAGTGGTTATTTTTAAACAGGAATGTTCCTTCTTTTTTACCTTTCTGGAATGTTTCTAATATGCACATATATCATTTCCACAAGAGAAATACAGTTATTTTCAAAAGGCAAAAATGAATCTGGCCAGTCACACATAAACTCATCTAAATGAATTATTCCATTTATGTGAAATATTCCAAATAGGTTAAATCCACAGCCACAGGAAGTAGATGAGTGGTTGCCAAGACCTGGTGGAAAGAGGGCTCGGGGGTGACTTCTAACATGTACAGGGCTTCTCTGGGGGGTGATGGAAAATTTCTAGAATCAGTCGTGGTAATGGTTGCACAATTCTGTGAACATACTAAAACCATTTAATTGTACACTTACAAAGGTGACTCTGATCCCTCCCCACCGTGCCCCTGCTCATTTTTACTACCAGCGCTGAAAAATATAAAATTGTTTCTTGAATTAAAAAAAAAATCATA